GAAAAAAAGGGGTTAATTCGTGGGGTGGGGTCTTGAGGGGGTTGGGGGATGTTTGGGGGTCTTGAAGGTGACCTTGGGGACTTTCAAACCAACTTTGGGACCTTCAAACCCACCTTGGGGACCTTCAAACCAATTTTGGGACCTTCAAATCAATTTTGGGACCTTCAAACCCACCTTGGGGACCTTCAAGTTTTGGGACCCTCAAAGTGACCTTGGGGACCCTCAAAGTGACCTTGGGGACCCAAAACCAACCTTGGGGACCTTCAAAGGATCTTTGGGACCTTCAAACCCACCTTGGGGACCTTCAAAGGATCCTTGGGGACCCAAAACTGACCTTGGGGACCTTCAAACCAACTTTGGGGACCTTCAAACCCACCTTGGGGACCTTCAAGTTTTGGGACCTTCAAACCCACCTTGGTGACCCAAAGCCGACCTTGGGGACCTTCAATTTTGGGACCTTCAAACCAACTTTGGGACCTTCAAACCAATTTTGGGACCTTCAAACTAACTTTGGGACCTTCAAACCCACCTTGGGGACCCAAAACTGACCTTGGGGACCTTCAAACCCACCTTGGGGACCTCCAAACCAACTTTGGGACCTTCAAACCGACCTTGGGGACCCAAAACTGACCTTGGGGACCTTCAAAGGATCTTTGGGGACCTTCAAACCAACTTTGGGACCTTCAAAGGATCTTTGGGGACCTTCAAACTGACCTTGGGGACCTTCAAACCCACCTTGGGGACCTTAAAAATGAGTTTGGGGACTTTCAAAGGATCTTTGGGACCTTCAAACCAACTTTGGGACCTTCAAGGTTTGGGACCCTCAAAGTGACCCACCTTGGGGACCTTCAAACCCACCTTGGGGTCCCAAAACCCACCTTGGGGACCTTCAAACCATCTTTGGGACCTTCAAACCAACTTGGGGACCTTCAAACCCACCTTGGGGACCCAAAACCCACCTTGGGGACCCAAAACTGACCTTGGGGACCTTCAAACCCACCTTGGGGACCTTCAAACCAATTTTGGGACCTTCAAACCCACCTTGGGGACCTTCAAGTTTTGGGACCTTCAAAGTGACCTTGGGGAGCTTCAACTTTGGGGATCTTCAACCTGTCTTTGGGGACTTTTAAATCGACTTTGGGGACCTTCAAACCAACTTTGGGACCTTCAAACCCACCTTGGGGACCTTCAAACCCACCTTGGGGACCTTCAAAGGATCTTTAGGACCTTCAAACCATCTTTGGGACCTTCAAACCAACTTTGGGACCTTCAAACCCACCTTGGGGACCCCAAAACCTCCTTTTGGTGACCCAGATGCCACCAGAGGTGCCCCAGGTGCCACCAGAGGTGACAAAGGTGCCACCAGAGGTGACAAAGGTGCTACCAGAGGGGTCATAAATGACCCAGGTGCCACCACAAGTGCCACCAGAGGTAACAAATGTGTCACCAGAAGGGTCACCAGACGTGACAAAGGTGACCCAGGTGCCACCAGAGGTGCCCCAGGTGCCACCAGAGGTGCCAAAGGTGCCACCAGAGGTGACAAAAGTGTCACCAGAAGGGTCACCAGACGTGACAAAGGTGACCCAGGTGCCACCAGAGGTGCCCCAGGTGCCACCAGAGGTGCCAAAGGTGCCACCAGAGGTGACAAAAGTGTCACCAGAAGGGTCACCAGACGTGACAAAGGTGACCCAGGTGCCACCAGAGGTGACAAAGGGGCCACCAGAGGGGCCATAAATGACCCAGGTGCCACCAGAGGAGCCACCAGAGATGCCCCAGGTGCCACCAGAGGGATCATAAATGACCCAGGTGTCACCAAAAGTGCCACCAGAGATGCCCCAGGTGCCACCAGAGGGGCCATAAATGACCCAGGTGCCACCAGAGGTGACAAAGGGGCCAGCAGATGTTTCCTAAATGCCCCAGGTGCCCCCAGGGGTGCCAGAGGTGCCCCCAGGAGTGTCCCCCCCCAGAGTGTCCCCAGAGCCCCGACTGACCGAAGACGAAGTTGTCGGGCCGGAAGATCTGTCCGAAGGGGCCGGAGCGAACCGAGTCCATCGTCCCCGGCTCCAGATCCACCAGGATGGCCCTGGGCACGTATT